TGGTATCCTTACAATGACTGTTCAGCTTATTACTGATATCCTTACAATGACTGTTCAGCTTATTACTGGTATCCTTACAATGACTGTTCAGCTTAGTACTGATATCCTTACAATGACTGTTCAGCTTATTACTGATATCCTTACAATGACTGTTCAGCTTATTACTGATATTCTTTACAATGACTGTTCAACTTATTACTGATATCCTTACAATGACTGTTCAGCTTATTACTGATATCCTTACAATGACTGTTCAGCTTATTACTGGTATCCTTACAATGACTGTTCAGCTTATTACTGGTATCCTTACAATGACTGTTCAGCTTATTACTGATATCCTTACAATGACTGTTCAGCTTATTACTGATATCCTTACATCAGGTTATTACTGATATTCTTACAATGACTGTTCAGCTTATTACTGGTACCCTTACAATGACTGTTCAGCTTATTACTGATATCCTTACAATGACTGTTCAGCTTGTTACTGATATCCTTACAATGACTGTTCAGCTTATTACTGATATCCTTACAATGACTGTTCAGGTTATTACTGATATTCTTACAATGACTGTTCAGCTTATTACTGGTATCCTTACAATGACTGTTCAGCTTATTACTGGTATCCTTACAATGACTGTTCAGCTTATTACTGGTATCCTTACAATGACTGTTCAGCTTATTACTGATATCCTTACAATGACTGTTCAGCTTAGTACTGATATTCTTACAATGACTGTTCAGCTTATTACTGGTATCCTTACAATGACTGTTCAGCTTATTACTGGTATCCTTACAATGACTGTTCAGCTTATTACTGATATCCTTACAATGACTGTTCAGCTTATTATTGTTATCATTACAACCAATGTTTAAGTTATTGTGATTATAACCTTCACTGTTCAGGTTATTGTTTACAACTATCGTTCAGGTTATTGTTTACAACTATCGTTCAGGTTATTGTTTACAACTATTGTTCAGGTTATTGTTTACTACTATTGTTTAGGTTATTGTTGTTATATAACCATCGCTGTTCAGGTTTTTAGTCTAATCTGAATTATCATGACAATTTTAAAGTATCTCAGTTCTATTTGTGGATCCTTTGTTTGGTGAACGTTTTACACCTGTCAGATAAATATATTTATTAGTAAAATTTTCTATTTCTATCTGATATAAGATGTTGAGCTCATTTCTTTTGCCTTCTGAAAT